GAATGTTTGGAGCAGTTTCACCCGAAATGGAAACCTAGGGGAAACAGGGGAGCACAGAGAAGCAGAGAGGGAAAGGAAAAGAAGATGAGATTAGAGGAGACAGAGAAAGGAGGAAAACCAATTACTAGTGGAAAGGCTTCCACAAGAAGGGGAATCAGAAATTGGTGAAAGCTTCCAGCAGAAAAATGCCACCTCCCAGCTCCTGCCTTCTTTACCAGGTGCCAAAGAAAGCACAGCTCCGTAGGCGCAGTGCCCCAACCTTGCCCCAGCAGCACCTGGGCAAGCAGCAGACCGGACGCCTGCCCCCCTGCCCTGGGCTATGTCAGGAGTGTGGCTGCCCCCTGAAAATCCCCCACAAGTACCAGCAAGGCTGTGCCTGGGTGGGAGGCACCGCGGGGGCTGCACGTGGGTACAGCCCGCTGCTGGCCCCCTGCGAGAACGCCAAGCTGCCCCCGCCGAGGTGCAGGCTCCTAGCGCTGCCAGGACAGTCACAGATGGCACATGTGCACTGTAAGGGCACCCTCCTCCACATGTGGAAGATGGATCCTTGCCAGGGACTCTGCCATGGCACCTGGACCCTGCCACAGCCAGGCAGCCCTGCACACTTGTGCTGGAGGAGCCAGCTCTTCAGGACACCTGTCCTGCGCCAGCTCCCTAAGGCATCACGCACACTCTCAGATATCCCTTTACCCTGCGCTCCCAAGCACCATCTGCTCTCCAGGTCCCTTCCTCCACACCTGCCTCCAGTGCAGGTTTTGTTATTCTTCCTAGTCCATGGAAATCGCAACAGAGGCAGTTGGTGACTGCCTGGAGCACCAAGATGGATGGAGGTCTTTCACAGTTGGGTTTGACCCATGAAAGCAACATTATCACTAACTGAACGGCTGTGTTGGGCCTGCCGGGAAGCCCAGGTTGGTCTCTGGGATTCCCTCAACACCAATCTTCCCAATCAGTATCGATGCTCATGGGCAATTCAACCAGAAGACTGCTTACTTTCCTGAGGGTACAGCAGCTTCTCTTCTGTTCCTGCACTGTGGTCTCATTGCTGAACCCTTTCTGCAGCCAAGGCAAGGATGGACAGGTTGTGAGCACATGTACAAATCTCTTCAGTGAAGCCCTCTCATCCTCCTTCTCTGAATGCAAACCAGGGTCCTTTGGAGGAGACCTCCCCTGGACAAAGATGATGAATTTCTTCAGGCTCCTTCTCTGAGTTAAGGCTTCAGATATATGTTGTAGATCAAAAAGCCTTAACACTAGTCTTATGAAGCTTGGAACAATGTGCAGCACCTCTCAACCAGTAAGGAAAAAACAACTCCAGATTTATTTCCGAACCAGCTTCCTTCTCCTCAGACTCTGTTGGGATGAGCACAGCCCACTCCAAGGGAACAGCCAACTATTCTGTGGTGTGATCTGAACTCTACTCCGGAGGGCTCAATGCCAGCTCCAGCCACAGCTCTGGTTCCACAGCTCATGGCAGTCCTTGTGTCTCCAGACCTTGGGGACACTTGGGGATGTTCAGAGAAAATATCTAGATACTTGGGTATGTCCTCCAGGAAAGAACTTCTGGAGCTTTGGAGGTCAGTAGGCTGGCAGGACAGAGTGTGTGCCAAGGCAGAAGCTGAGTCTAAGAAGTGACGATGCTGGGAAGGGCCTGTCCATAGAGCAACTTCGACTTCCCAAGGGATAATTTGCTTTCCAACTTCCCCCTCCTCCCTCCTGCCCTGATCTGCTCTAGGAACAGGAGCATTGGGAAGGCCATGCTCACAGTGGCCTACACATCACAAGACAGAGCAAACTGGCAGAAAGGAAAAAAACGATGGCATGGAGCAGAGACAAGCTTCTGCCCCTGCAGCAAGGCCCATAACCTCGGCAGTGCCCAGGGTAGGCGGGAGGCTTCTCCCTTCGGCATCCTTCAATGTCCCTGCCATCCCTCTTTGCTCCTACGGGAGACCCAGCTCACCTGAGAGGAAAGCGCGAGCCTCACAACAAGGAGGGGAGAATGAGAGAATCTGAGATATTGAGACAACATAGGGTTGCTTTGTCACCCAAGGCTGAAGAGACTCCCGGCACCTCCCAGCTCAGCATTCTGGTCCTCCAGCAGGAGTGAGGACTGAGGGATGGAGGGGAGGGTGGAGACACCTCCATCCTGTAGCTGGGGGTGACAGATAACGCGGCCTCAGCAGGCCTGAAGCCTACAGGCACCGAGGGACCTTCTGGCTGAGTGTGATGTGAGCTCCAAGCTCTGCAGATATGCTGTCCTCGTGTCATCACCCTCTCAGGGCCACGAATTCCTCGTGGCAGCCACAGGCCAGGAGAGGACAAGTTCCCACGTATCAACTGCTGAGTCTCAGCCACTAATGCCTGGAGAGAAATCACTGGTGAGGCCACCTTGGCACCTGCACCCCAGCACAACCTTGGCACCACGAGGGCCTCCAGAGGGTGGTGGAGATGACTCTCTGAATCAAGACATGTGTGCGCACCTCACTGTTGCTGTTTCTGTCCACAAGCTCCTAAATACTGTCACATAGAGGGTCCCAGAGTGGAGCAGGAGATGCTGATGCAGAGCCCAAGCTTCACCGAAGGTGCCTGTATCCTTGTTGAAGCCTGGGGCTGTGCCCGAGCCCTCGTTCACACACATACTCACTCCTGCGGCTGCGTGCTCCAGCCAGCCCGGGTTCTGGCTCCAGTGGTGCTGTGCTGGTAGGGCACAGCTTGCCAACGCCGGCCCCCACTAAGGGAGGTGATGGGGCCAGCCTCGCCCCTGCCCCTGCCCCTGCCTTGTCCGTCCCCCTGCTCCTGCTCTGCTGCCTTCCCTGGGGGCACTCGGGCAGGACGGGCAACCCAGCACCGCGCTGCAGTGTGGCTGTGTCCAACCACACCAGAACCAATCTCAAAGACCAGTTTTCTTCTGCTCTATGGTATTTTTTCTTGGCTGTCCTGCCAAGAAACAGCCACCATCATGTGAGATAAACCCTGCATGCAAGCAGTGCCGAGAGCCCACACTCCTCACCATGGGCATTGCGCGAGGACGTCCAAGGCAGCATCACCCTGCTTTGCACAGGCATTAAGACCAACATTTCTGATGCCTCCAGAGATGCCCTATTTCAGGCTGCCTGGGCCTGGGGAACTGTAACTGTAGCCAAAGTGAAAGGAAAGCACAAGGGATTGCTAAAGACACCTTGTAGCTGGCTGCCTACCTGCACCTGGAGCAGACACCCACAGAACGCCTTTGCCATAGGGTCAGCACTGCCTTGGGACCTCCAGCACTGGCCTCCAGCATGACCCCCTCACCCAGAGCACAGCCAGCCCTGGGGATTCACAGCAGGGCTCCACTGGAAGGTCCCTCCCAGGATCCTCACAGCCCAGAAGAAACAGTCAGGGGAGCAGATTTCACCAACAGCTCTGTCCTGGCGAGGGATCCTGCCCATTGCTGGAGAGGGGACCCACCCAGTGGGGCCAGAAAATGGCTCAAGCTCTGCTCAGAGGGCAGGAGCCACCTTGGCAGGCTGGAGGACCCCGTGGGGGGCAAACTGTGAGAGCAAGGGGTGGGGAGAGAAGGAGGATGGTGACAACCTCAGGAGAGGAGACAAGGCTTTTCTGCGTGAAAGACTCCATGCTTAGGGAAGCTCCGTGCTCAGATGCAAAATCGTCTAGGGTGTCCTCTTCCATCGTCTGTGCCAGCACGGAAACCCCAGCACCCATGGGGAAAGAGAGAGAGACAGACAAGAGAGACAGAGAGAGAGAGAGAGAGAGAGAGAGCACATGAGAAGGAATAAATGGTGGGTAGGTGGGCAGATGGATCAATGGATGGCTGGATGGCTGGATGAACAGAGGTCACAGCTATGCCAGCTCTGGATGCTCCATTTACATCTTTGTATATTTGCTTGTAAAGGAGATGTGGGGTGAAGTTCCTCTTCCTCTTCCCAGCTCAGTGCTCTGATGAGGGGCTGTGAGCTCACCCCTGCCCAGGTCACCTGCAGCCCTGGGTCTCCGGTCAATGCTGGGGACCAGCAGGTACATGTGCACATCACGATGTCCCCACAGAGAGCCCCTGGCCCAGCTGCCCCGCAGTGCCCATGCCCTCCTCGCAGCACAGACCCAGGCCTTCAGTTGCTCTGCAAGACTCTCCCATGAGGGAGCCAGGGCCAAGCAGGCACCGTATGTGGTGTCCACCCTGCCTGGAGCCAGGCCTGGTGGTGTGGGCACAGGACCGGCTTCAGAGTCCCCGTGGGAGGAGAGAACACTGCAGAGGGGAGAGCAAGCAGGGAGGGTCCCTGGCAGGGAGAACATCCATGCTGGCAGCAGGGATGCCCTTGCCTCACGCTGCCTCTCCTGAGCCAGCCAGGAACCCAGCACCGCAGAGCACGCAGCCACGCCGCATCCACACCCCTCACACAGCACCGGGGGGCTCTGCATGTCCCAGCACCCCCAATTCCAGCTCCCCGGGTGCCTTCCTTTCACACTCATGGTCCCACCGCAAAGCCAGCAGGCAAAACACCAGGAGGAGAGGACATGGGTGCAGGGTGCGGTGCGAAACTGCTCACCCTTCCGCCTACTCCCACCACCCAGGTCCTGGCTGGCGAGAGCACCATGGGGCACCTCTGTGCAGGCACCTGATCCTGCTCTGCTGAGGACACCCCTCGGGCAAGAGCTGCACAAGGCACTGCCACGCAGCAGCCCTGCTGATACGAGGGGTGAGGAAAGCCACATCTCATGGGCCAACAAAGCCACAGCCCAACTCCCAGGTACGCCCAAAACACTGCCCCACACAGAGCCTGCGCACAAGGGGAGATCACTACCAGCAGTGTGAAAACACTCGTTACAAAACTTAGACACAATGGTCTGGCCAGAGGTCTCCCTCCACACCGTGTCCACACGATGTATTTTCCACCATGTTCCCCCAGGGTAGCACAGGAGTCAGAGACCCAGAGCCCAAAAGCGGAGGAATACTTCCCTGCAACCAACCTGATCCCCTCCATAAGAGAAGCAGCAGAACAAACCTCGCTGGCCTTTTCTGGGGTTCCCTTTGGTGTTTCATCCTCATGCTTGGGTGAGGAAGAGGCTGGTGAGGAAGGCAGCCTCCTGTCCCGGTCCCTGTGAACCAGCTTGCTGTTGGGCTCCTTCAGGGTCCGTTTCAGCTCATTGATGCTGGCCTGATGCTTTAGCAAAACATCTTCTGGCTTGTCTAAAAACTTGGGGAAGGAGAGAGGAAGGTAACTATGATTAAAGCACCAGCCAAGGCAAAAGAGATGAGCAGGGGCACTGGAAGGGTTTGCTTCACACTGGGCTTGAATTTAGGGTCTCAAGAGCCAAATGAACAGCGCGTCAGAGCACCCTGGTCTGCAGGTTCTCACTAAGGCAGTTGCACGGCACAGCAAAAAGGCATTACGGGCCAAACGTGCGCGGCAGAGTTCCCTCCATGAAGGGCACAGCACGCCCCTTCGGCATCTCCAGCACGGCCTGCTGAAGACAAGCTAATCCACCTGGAGAAAGAGAGTGGGCTCTCCCTGGGGATCAGCAAGGGCCCTCCTGGAAATACCAGCAGCCTCCTCTGCTGCTCTCCTATGCCAGGCACAAAGGGAGCCCGAGCCTCTGTCCGAGCAGGGCAGGAACCCGGCATTTCCAATGGAGGTCCTTCTGCCAAAGGGCAGGAGGTCAAGGGCTGGTCAGAGATGTCCAGCATGGATCCAAGTCTGGATCAGCACGGACCAGCCTGGGCCCAGCGGCAGCCTGGAGTGGGGTGGGGTCTGGCCTGCTGTGGAGAGAGGACAGCTCAGAGCGCTCAAGCGCAAGGTGGGGTTCAGGCGTTAGAGCGTGGTTTTGTGACGGTACAGGCACCAGGGTGGCTCCCCTCGTCCTGCCGCAGAGGTGGGCAAACTGGCTCAGAGCAAGAACCAGAAAGAGCAAGAACCCCGGCTTCTGCTTCAAACTCAAACCTCTTTTGAGGTTCGAAAGGAGTCACCTAAAATACCTCCCTGGTATTTCTCCTCAGCAACAGCCCAGAGACCCAAGAGAGGCCCATGAAAAACCCTACCAAACTTCCCAGACCCTGAGGGCTCAGCGCAACTCATGAAAAAACTCCCCGTGTGGACCCGTGTGTCTGAGCCGCGGAGAAGTGCCTCATGGTTTGCCCACCTCTGGGTTCGGGGTGCGCCGGGGGAGCAGCACATGCACATGCAGTGGGGTAAGCAATGAGGCGGGCAGGGGCAGGACCGGGACCAGTGCCCACCACCCCGGCGGGGTCTGCAAGGACGGTGAGGGCTGTGTGGTGCCAGCGCAGCGAAACCCATCGCCTGGCCACGTTTGCCCCCTGTCAACAGCTCCAGCGAGGATCTACATCCCACCGGATGTCCCATGGGGGAAACCCCCAGGGAGCACCCGTGGACTTTAGGCTGGGATGAATCGATCCTGATGGGGGACCGCCGCGGACACGGGAGTTTGTGCGGGGGACGGCACGGCCTCCCTCTTCTTTGCGGCAGCCTGCTCTCGGGCCGGGCAGACACAGGCAGCTGCCCACAGGGGTTAGGTGCCCATGCCTGCCCCCCAGGCAGCCGAACAGGCGCTGAAGGCAGCTCAGAGACTCGTTTGCCCTGGGCAGGGCGGGATGTCAGCCACGGCGCTGCAAGGAGCCTGGTTCTCTGCAGGGGAGCCTCGCCACCGGCGGTGGGGGGCTGCGGGAGGGCAAGGATGGAGGCAGTTCAGGTCTGACAAAAGCAGAGCGTGGGTCTGGGCGCCAGCGGGAGCGATGGGACCAGCCTCCATGGGAGAGCTAGGGCTGCAGGGCTGGGCGGAGAGGAGACAAGAGGCAAGGACATGGAGGAGTCAGTAACACGAGCAGAAGCCGGGTCTTCCCAACAGGCCAAGGACTCGGCACGGGGGCCTGGCCGTTGCGCCTTGGGAGGGCCCCTGCTCACACGTACAATTAGGACTACCTTACTTAGTGGGATAGAAGATGCCGTGTGCGTGCTGGGGCACATCCCCAGCTGTCTGCTCATGGGGCTTCTCTAGCATCCAACCCCCTGCCCCAGTGCATCTTGTATTCCAGTAAATAGGGTGACACATAGTGTTGTTTTGGAAAGGATGGACAATATGATGCACCGATGAGGACTAAGATACTCCAGAGAGAGAATACCTCCTGCTTGTGCCTGGGGGTTGTTTCGTGCTCCGGCTGGCAGCAAAGAGAGGGTTAAAAGTAACCAGCAGGGTCAGTTGAGGGAACTTGTCACAAACATCACAGTTAAGTTGATGGGCTGGTAGGGCACAGAAGGACGGACCCCCCCCTCCCCTCGCTCGCAGCGTGGGGCTGAAATGGGCTGGGGTGTCCCTGGGCCAGCCCAGGGGCCAGGGCAGGGAATGGGTGGGCTGTGCCCAGGCAGTGGTGGGCACGAGTGGACACTGGTGTGCCTGGCCTGTCCCCATTCCCATCCCCACCCCTGTCCCAGAGCGGGTCTGCTCCCAGGTCCAGCCCTGCCTGGGGACAAGCCTTGAGACCGCCTGGAGGGTGCTGGGGAATCAGAGTCGAGCTGAGCCCCTGTGACAGCCCCATTGCCACTGGTGAGGCCAAGAGCCATGTCTGAAGGGTCCCACCAGCCTGCGGCACAGCGTGCGGAGAAAGGGTTGCAGGGGACCGTGCCCCAGGGTGACCCTTCCTGCCTGCAGCCCAGCCCTGCTGCCTGTGCCCGGTGCCCTGCCTGCCCTCTCCAGGTGTGAGCCAGACTCCCCCTCCACCTCTACCCTCTTCTGCCCGCCTCATCGGTACCTTCAGCTCCTTGATTTTCGTTGGGGTGGTCACCTCCTCATCCTCCGTCTCGGACCGTCTCCTGCTGCCAAACTCACCGTCCTCATCCCGCTTCTCACCCTCTGCCCCAGCGTCATGGTTCTCGCTGACGGAGGCTGGGCGCGAGAACTCTGCCCGTGGGGGAGAGCCCGGGTCACCCCAGCCCTGCGGCCCCCAAC